AATGTGTAATGTGTACCAAAATATGTGTTGTAATACATCCAAGGGTAAATAAATGTGTAATGTGTACCAAAATATGTGTTGTAATACAGTCACTTATATCCATTAAACATAACGTTACAATGTTTAAGCTACAACAGATACATGTACATTTTGTTTGCTACAGTAGTTGAAATATCTCTAGAGAATTATCGTTGTTCTTAAGTTAATCCGGGGGTTGGGGTGTTTTTTTGATGTATGTTTATTGTTACGTTTATCATGATCCTATGATCTTTTACAGTGGCATTGCCCCTAAATGTAGTGGAAAATGTCCATGTAAGCCAGACTGTATGTGTACCCAGGAAATGCAACCTGTATGTGGGGCGAATGGTAAAACATACAGTAACAGATGCAAGGCTACCTGCGCGTGAGTAGAAATTACACATATATAAAATAAATACTTTATTTCAACAATTATGAAACGTGCTTTTCCAACTTTTATTCCCTTTTGTTAGCTCAAACGTAAGTGCGCCGATCGTACATGTATATGTCGGAGAAAAGGGGAGGAGACGGAGAAAACCTACGTGGTTGGAAAGGTGACCTACTATATATATACAAAGTCGGGAGACAGTTTTTGACACTTCCTACAAATACATGAGTTGTAATTTTTTAAAATTCTTTTTAGTCTTGCTTCTATACCTTGAAAATGATCATGCCTATGTTATGGTTATTTTTTTTGTCTTTCAAACTTCGTGTGTGGTTCTGACGACAAAAACGTATGGTAACGACTGCAGTGTTGACTGTCAAGTATCGATACGTCTAAGTATGTGTTGCAAACGTTAGTTGTCATGTCTGGCATTTGCAAATATCTTGAAATAAAATGAATGTTTGGTATTTGTTAATTTGTACTGTCAAAACTAATCTTACTATTGACATACCTTTTGAAAGCAAAGTGGCTTCTTGACATTTGAATCAGTTAAGCATGAACAACATTAGCCATTTGTAGCAAATTGTCTAAACATGTGATGGATACACGTGCAATGTACATGTATAGTTTACACATTTAACATAAAATAATGACTTATATGAAAAGAACATAATTTCAACGGGGAATGATTGCAAATGACAATATAGAATGCATTTGAGTAACAAAGTGACATAACTGACATACCATACACGTAAGTAAAATCTCATCAAAAATTGCTATTTGTTACAGGAATGTTAAAGTAAAATGCAGTGGGCAATGTCCATGTAAAAAGCGTTGTATATGTACTAAACATCTAGACAGAGTGTGTGGTTCAGACGGGAAAAACTACGGAAATCCTTGTATGGCCAAATGCGGGTACGTTTGTCTGTTTTTCAATATTCATAATAACGTATCATTATTAGGAACAATTACTTTATAGATATCTTGAAATAATACCATTTGTACAATTTGTGCAAGATATTGTAAATAACCATGCTGTATCAATTGTTTAAGATTAATTAAGAAATAATCAACATGTGTGCTTGCATTATGGTCTTATAAGGCGACATGACCTAGATCATTCGATATGCAAATTAGACGCTGTTCTTTTGCGCGTGCAAGATTTATCACGTGATCGTGTTGCTTCGTTTTAACTTGATCAATGTCGCGCCAACATTTCTCAGTGCGTAGGGTTGGGATTCCCGGATTGAGTTTACTTCTTAAACCATTATCATCGTACCGATATCAAGCGGATTTTCATCGAAGTGCCAGTGATACAACATCATACTATAGGCCTGAAATGAGATGGCATATTTAGTTGGTTGCCATGACGTGATTGAAAGTCGCTGACCGGCTGATCATGACGCGACCATCACCTTCACCGACTTCAACGGACAGCTGTGTTTTGCAACCACTGTTCAGACCGATGCTACTTTTTGCAACATTATTTTTCACACACGGTATATACACTGTAGGCGAATGCTCCACATCACTTAGATTTTTTGAAAGCAGACGACGTTCTGCAGACCAGAAACAACTGAACACGTGTGACGTCAGAAACGATGTTTATTTCAATCAATCTAACATTGGCAAGCTATCGACATCGTTCGTCAAAACATGAAATCTACGCTTGACAGTACATGCACACACTGCACACATCGTGAAATGTACGGCACTACCCAGAGAAGTAAAAACAGAAGTAGTTAATAATTTACCATTTTGTCTTCAGGCCTGTACATTTTAAATGTCAATAATCAATAAACTATTTTCACTGCACGGACCCACATACTTTAGGTCTATAGATCCGTATAATCTTTTGAATGGCAGGCCTGTCAAATATTTTGATCCCGCCTGACAGTTATGCTATTTTTGTTAATTCATGATAAAATACTGGGAGGTTGTTGGAACAGCATGCGTGCGCACTATTTCACGTGCATTGGTTATTGGCACGCGCATGGTATATCGCTCAATAATGCACTCTTTTTAACCAATGAAAACCGTCGTTACATCACAGGCGTGGTAGAATAAAATATATTACCTGTAACTAAGCAAGATCAAGTTATCTCAGTCAGGGTTATTCTGTAACAAAATCAAAACCGAGGCGTAAGCCGAGGTTGGGATGTTTCAGAATCTTAGCCTGAGACTGAGATTAATAGAATCTTACATGAGTCTGTTCCGTGGACAGGGATATTTCAGCCCGAGTGTAAGAGTTTGGCTGGTCAGCACGAGGATTGCCGAGTGCTGGCCGGTCAAACTCTTACACGAGGGTTGAGATAGCCCTGTCTATGGAACAGAGTCATGTTTGATTATTTTTCTCACATACATACAAAAAAAAAAAATCCAGTCGAAATAAACATCGATCTTATTCCTCCGGAAAATCCCAAAGTCCTAGGGTTGAAACGGATGATTCCCCATTCACAACAATTGTATGACATCACGAAAACAATAAAATGACGTCACGTCGACAATCCATTACTATGACGTCATAGCACGTGTCAGCTGTCTTTCCCTACCCCGTGTAAGATAGAGTTATCTTTTCTCTAGCAACAACGGGATCACCCTGTGAAATTTTTCTAAAAACTACAAGTACATGTACCCCGCCTTGGGCCTTAAATGATAATGACATCTTCACTACTTAAGCTACATTTGAATGCTTCCGCGTAAAAACGTAGTCCGTCCTTACATAGATTACAACGTATTTCACAGTGTAGGTTATATTTCATCTACAACATAAAATATATAACAACATCAAAACTATACATATAATGACAAATTAGAACATATATAATGCAAATTGTCAATTTCAAGCAGTTAACGCAGGAATACAAACATCGCAATGTAAAAAATCTGCGAAATGCCACGTTAAGGTACAAGACAGATCGGACGAGATAGAAAAATCTAGCATGGGGTATTACGTGGGATATCTCTGTCTGAGGTGCGAGAAAGTGATGTCTTTCCTACAAGACATCTATCATGTTGTTATCTTTCCTGTGGTTGTAGATAATAGTATTGTAACGTACCATTCCTCATAACAGTAAGAATACACCTCAGATAGTGTGCAGACATGTTAAACGTTTAATTATTTAATTTTGATGTTATCATTTCTTTAGAGGTGCTAAATTAAAGTGTAGGGGCACATGCCCGTGTAAGGAAGACTGTGTGTGCCCGTTCAGATTCAGTCCAGTATGCGGGAGGGACGGACAAACATACCTTAACTCGTGTGCAGCTACATGCAAGTAAGTGTACATTCATGTATCCTACTCATATAACACATTATTTCAGAGTGACATTTGTCATTGGATATCTCAAATGCCCCGTTTATATCGAAAGTTAATAGTATTGTTATACATTGTATTGATAGTCTAAGTTGAAAGGACGCATTATATGATGATGAAAATTACTTACAAATCAACAAGTCGATTCAGCAACGCGTTGTGTTTTACGTGGTCATATATATACACATTGTATTTCACTACTCGACCCGTTGCTCTCTGTGACCATCATTTTGAAATACGAGTCAATTGTATGCTGATGTTAATCCCTGGTTGTACTATATAAACATGTATCAAGAGTTTAATGACTACGGACGAGTAACTTTATCAGGCTCTTACTACTAATATTTGCCCCATGGCTAACGTTTCCACATGTGTGTATGTATGAGTGAGGACTGGATGTGTGGTTTGTTATTTCAAATGGTGGTAATGTAGAACCATACCCATGACAGACCAATATACATTCTATCTGAATTGTTGGAGCTAGATCAGTTTAGAAAACACTTTCTCTCAATATTCTCTACTACGACGAATTGTGTGATGGGGTCTTCATGTGGTTCTGTTTTGAGCTAGAACTATGCTCTAACGGCATGGGTTTATAGTGACGGCCCAATGGAATGCGACACACATGTAAAAACGATGGTACAGGACACATTTTTTCGGGAGTTTAGTTAGGGTAAGACAGGTTTGTTGGTCATAGACGATTGTTGGGACTAAGTTTGGAGCATATTTAAAGACGAACAATTAATCAGAGAAAAACATTGTTTAGATATAAAAGTTTTTGCTGACAATATCTCTGTTGGGTTTGGTAGCCAATTTTCCTGCGAACGACTGATGTATCAAGGGAGACAAAAAGTTTCTCTCTCATGTCCGATCCAATAGGACTTGTATGTTCACAGGTGATGAAGACTCTTACACAAGTCTTTCGATTTTAGTTTAAGATATTTATTTATTGTTGTTTTTTGTTTTGTAACAACATACGATTATTGACTACGTTAATAGTTTATACCCAATATCCTACCGAACCTGATATCTACGACGCTACAGAATCCTATACATCTGCCACTTACCTTAATTCGATTCTTCCACATAGGATGCTTAAAGGTAGAATTGATCCTTGATATTGACTAGAAGGGCGAAACCTTAATATCACAATTTCCGAGACAGCTGTTGACTGCTGACAGACAAACAACATATTGTTTCTAGTTTGCCAGTTGATGAAGTCTAAGGGTCAGGTTTGAGTTTTGATTGCAGTATTTATGGATTTCCTCGTAGGATATGAATATCGATGTGTTTTGGTTGGGCTCATCAGTGTACATACATGTACATCAGGGACACCGGTTCCCTCTTTGAGAACGTTACGTTATTTCGATTTGACCTACGTCTGTACGGTGGAAGTCGCCGATCAAGCAGAAGATAAATATTTAACACAAATCGTATAAGCTTATTAAATCTTGTCAATAGTGTCCTCCTTGATTAGCTTTTATTTATATTTGCTCCCCGTTTCATCGCTTCTGGGCTCAAGTTACGGTTTTGGTTGTGTTATAACATACGGAAATAATGTTTTTCAATCGCACGGAGAGAGAGTTGTTGGAGTTGTTATAATAATAAGCAATAGTTTAAAACAAAAAACCCACAAATATGTTCGCTCATCATTTTGATTGCAAATCCTGTCGTCGGAAGTTCTGTCATTGATGTAAACCTGCACAGTAAATCTACATCTATGTAACCAGTTTGTGTTCTTTACCTGCAAACGAGTAAGTGAAATCTAACTGAAATCTGTTACCAATTACAGGCACGTTGAAGTCAGGTGTAGCGGGCATTGTCCATGTAAAGCGCAGTGTGTATGTACTAAACACCTAGATCCAGTGTGTGGCTCAGACGGACAATCCCATGGAAACCCTTGTGCGGCAAAATGCAAGTAAGTTTTTCTTCGTATTTTCAACCGATTTACTGGTTATTGAAGGCACTAGTAAAGCAATCAGTATACTATTTGCAATGCGACGTTATAGGGAACATGGCCTGCTTTATCAGGGAAGTCAGTATGACTTTTCACAAACACACCTTCTTTATTCCTGTCTTTTTCTAAATTGCTGATGAGTAAAATGTGAAACATCAGACCTCGTCGCAAAACTTAAAATACTACAGACTGTGTTAAACAATTTTTCATTAAAAGTTTTGTCTTCTATTCTTCATAGTTTTTCGTCTGTTTTTTAGAGGTGTCCAAGTAAAGTGCAAGGGCAGGTGCCCGTGTGGCGATTGTTATTGCCCTTATAGCTACAACCCTGTGTGCGGCACGGACGGACAAACATACCCAAACTCATGCTCAGCCGCATGCAAGTATGTAAATAATTAAAAGTAAAAAATATCTTCCACTTTTCCTATTATTGCTATTCTGTTTGACTGAGGTGATTGTACTGGACTGTTTCCATTTCAGGTGTTTATCCCGTTTCCTGGGTTTTCTTATATCTTTGGCCTTGATCGTAAACCCAGCCTAATTGTTTAAATATGTGGCAGTTTAAATTCTGCTTTCGGCTTACGCAAGCAGAGGGGATTATTTCTTTAGATACTAGTTACACTTGTATATCATATTTATCAAGTTTTATTATGTAATGTAAGTGTTCTGTGTTTTGTGTGTCTCGATAAAGGAGCGGATCACTTCGAAAATTTCACAACCGTACATTGTCTACATTGTTACCATTACTCGTATAGCTTCATATTTAGTAATGTATAAAGCTTTTATGATCCCCTTTAATGTTACTCAATGTTATGCAATGTAATCGAATATCCCAAACATCCAAATTATCAAAGATTTGTTTTATGATTTGCTGTTGTTTTCTTTGTAGTGGACAAAGAGTACAGTGTCCGTGGGCCTGTCCTTGCTTTGTAACTGGAAAGTGATCACACTTTGGACCAGAGAGAGGTGCTACACAATGTATCATATATAACGGACATACTATAAAATTCCCTTCTAAAAGTGTCGAATTATATGAATATTTGTATTAATAAATGATGTTTTGTTCGGAAATAAACATATCAGAGAAATTGAGTTATTGTTCTTTTTCTTACACTGAACGATGGATACGGTACATTGTCTGAGGTCAATAACACTAGTAAATGCACAGTATAGTTCATAATATTTAAGACAACAAAATGGACAAGAGAACTTGAGGACCACTTTATAACCGAAGGATTAATAAAAATGATCTGTATGAGTAAGTGTGATCCACTATAGGGTATCTGTTTAATCAATTAATTAATTATGACGCCGACAACAAGGAAAAGTTAAGAAGTATTTTATTGTATTTATTGGGTTTGGATATTGAGTGGAAAGATATGTCGAAAGAAAGCCCTCGAACGCTGAGGCATGGTATTGTTCTGGGGTTGAACAGGGTCCCGATCCCTATCATGTATGCAATCAAACAATCACAGAGGTTGACAAATCGAAATTGTCATTATAACACTGACCTGCCTATGTTAATGATTTCCTTACGTTTTATTTACATATATGCTTATATTTATCATATTCCCATAACTAAAAGTATCGAACTTTTAATATTAGCAAAGAGTCACGTTTGTATGTTAATTTATCAGCAGCAAAATATGTCAAGACGCAAATATAACACCTGTCCATGTAGCAGCCAGTTTTAATTCACATGCAAAACTGTATACAGTATGTTCCAGCATGTTCACACAGGTCCTACTCATTTCGATTTTCTGTTTTAGATATGTTACAATTTCATTTAGGTAGGTGAACTAAAAAAATAAAATTAATGGGGCTTGTTTCGTTAACCTGATAGTGAATGTCTTAGAAAGAATATCCAAATTGTATATGCCAATTTCAGTCATTCGTGACTTTATCGTTTATTTCAATCACAAGTCAATCAGACAGTCATTTACCTATGTAAGCCACACACCAAATATCGTTACCATACATTTTAGAAGACGTTGTTTGAAATATTCAAAACATTTAACACTTGTGACGTTCCTATATGAATTATTTTTGGGACAAATATTCGCAAGAGAACAAACAAAAAGTTCTCGTTAAAATAGCAATCAGCAATATTTTCTTGTAGGTACATATTCTGTAACCAGTAATGTTCTAGTATTGTGTCTTGTGTTGGATATGTAATTCTATTACAAATCAACATGAACATGAATGTGTCAGCATCACTTAGCACAGGACCCCTGTAACGTAGAAAGTGAACAAGGTAAATAAATGTTATTGAAGAAAAGGTTTTAGTCCTACACTCGAGCATGATACAAGCCAAATATATATTCTCTACAAATACTCTATACTTCAAACATCTTCAGAAAAAA